TACATGTACGTATGCTTGTCCATACATGTAGTTTGACCTATTTCATTTAAAGCTATAGTCCATCATTTGTAATTAGTGCATTTTTTTCGTTTGAAGCAACAAAAGTGTTCAAAATCTAATGAAGGATACTGAGCAACTAACCTGATGAAGTTTCAGCTAAGCTTCAGCTTTTGAATTGCAGCTGTACGCGGCGTCGCGCACTGATCCGACGAATTATAACAACCGCGCGCGCGTGTGCGTCGTTCCAATACTTGTGCGCGCTGCGCTGAATAACAAAACGAACTACTAATTTAAATTTTCCTACGGTGCTTCTTAAGAATCACCGTTGGAAATGCCTTCTTTCGTTGATTACTTCAAAATAACAGCTTCCCAGAAAGAATAATTTCACCGGGAGTTTAGGTTTACATGTAGTTCCCTTACTATCTTTCAACCAAGTTTGTTTTTCAACAGTAATTACACCCGCCAGTTACTTTTCGGATGGCTGCAAATGATGGACTATAGCTTTAAATGCATGATGGTGGGTCCTACTCTAGTCGATTGGAACCAAAGCCAGGGGCACTGTTCCATCACTGGTAACCAATAGCTGCACACATCATAAAGCACAGCAGGGAGCCAGGACCAAGAAGTTTGGTGATGATGTTTTGACCAGCGTTTGACTAGACACTTTCGCACATTGCTACTAGTGTGTAGGTGCAAGTTATGTCACAAATCAAACACTAGCAGACTAGTCAACTTGCTCACATGCATTTGGTGGGTTACTTTGGTCAAGGTTGGACTAACGGCATGATTCGACCAAAATTAATTTTAAAAGATATTTTATGTTAGGTCAATGTACCGGTAGGTTAACCCTCCTATGCAAACATACACCCTACGCAAAGTTGTCCGTTCAGTCAAACTCAGTCAAGTGACTGTTTCTAACAGTTAAGAGCTCCCAGCCTACATAAAGCAGGGTTGATTGGCCGTAACTAGTGTCACTTGATACAGCTACATGTACATACAAATTTATGCTTTGACTGTACATGTAGGTGATTGATAAGCCAGCTGTGCCTACCACTTGCCTGGTTGACTGGCTTTAACTAATCACAGTGCTTGCTTGAAATATGATCTGACTGTTGGTGACTGGCCTGTCATGCCTGTGTAAAAGGCATGGCTGGGGAAGAGGATTGATTGTGGACTGTCCGTGACAAATAGCACGAGGGTTTAAACAAAGGCATTGACAAGAACGGCATTTCAATCTGTGACATGTGTGATCTCCAGAACACTGTGCTCGGCACTCTACTAGCTGTAACTGAGCTATGTTAAACCTACATTGTATACGCATGTCAGTGGTCTCCTTAAGTATCAATACTTTGTTCATTAATCATTTAAAGAAAATGTACACGTGCACACTGGAATTTGTATCCTTGTGGAGACATTTCTTTGTTCTCGTGTAGTAAAGTTTTCGAGTTTGAAAGTGTAGTTTCAAAATGCTCTTATTTCAACCAGAATTAATTTCCTTGGCTGAAATTCTGACTAACCGGTAATATCCCTTTTCTAAAACTCTTCCATTTGCGACAGATCAACATACATGTACCTTGGAAATTCCTAGTTTTTGAGTAAAATCCATATCTATTTCGTGGTAACCTTGTGGAGACGTATTCGTCTATAGAAATTGCCCTGTGGAGACGTACATGTATACAATTTTGTGTTCCCTATTGTGTGCATGTCTCCAGAGGGTACGGTGTATCAGATCTACCTCACCAGTCAATTACAACTTGGATGTGTGAAGTGATGATAAACAGATTTAAAGGACCTGTGTAGTAGATTTTTTTTTGTTTAACGCAATCTTTGAAATGTTCCTTTGTTTTCCATTTAAACTTTTTTTTGCAAATTTAGCTTTTATACATTTCAGAGGAATGGATATTTGTTACAAGTAGGCCCCTACGGTATGCTCCAATGTAAAATTCATTTCATGGCCCTTTAACATACAAAGTTCCTCATGATGAACCTTCAGTTTTGTTTCTCCCTGTCATGCCTTAAGAGGCTGTGGGGATCAACGATGACTTACACATTGTTCCACTATTAAATGAAACACCTGCTAACGTAATTATACATTTATGGCACGCTGTGTTGATGCACATGCACTTGAATAAGTAATGAAGCTGATTAAAACAAATAAGAGCTAAAACCAAATATTCATTCTGTGGTTAATATTCACAATCACAGTAAAATCACAAAATGCATACAGCTGTGAGTAATACATGTAATACCACCCACGTGCGTACATATACATGTGTACGTGTAACACAACTTTACATGTATGTACTGTATTGAATTTGTACTTTCATTACAGAGGGGACATGTTTGCATTACAGTGTAATTACTAATGTACTGATCATGTACATGTATAAGGTAATTTGATTGATGTACACGAACATGTGCACTTAATGTACACCTCATTATCTATGGCCTGACTCTTCTGTTGAGCCGTTTGGCTGAGCACAGCAGGCAATGAGAACAAAGGCCAAGCGACTGTCTCTCAACATCTGTCAGCAGAGATGCATTACCAATCAAGCCAGCATCAAACTTGAAATGGAAGGGATGGTCCAATAATTGTGCTTGGCTGACAGTGCATGGCTGGAAATCCCCACTAGATTACTGGACTAAGTGACTGAAGTACCGACCACGGAGGAATCAGAACGAACCCACTAAGTCTGAATTAGTGCTTTCTCTGACTAAAAGGTTCCGGTGTAGCATGAATTTACGTTTTATGAAATACGGACTCATTGGTGGTATTGCGCACGCTCATGCATAGATAATTTGGAGAGGGACCGGTCACGTGAGAGGGTTTAACCAATAAAAGGGAAAAAGAGTCCGATTTTCACACGAGTCCGATTTTCACACAAGTCCGATTTTCATATGACACCGGTCCTTATATTAAATGTATGGACACCATTCACAAAAAAAGAGTGGATTTTCTTTTTTGCCCGATTCAAGAAATAACAGAACAATAAACCTGGACCAGTTATAAAAGAAGTTATTCAAAAAAATAACCTGTCACATTTCAGCTCGGTACATATATATGTACATATCATACTGCGAAATGCATTTTCATTTTTGTCAAACGCAACAAGGTTAAAAGCCCTCACTTCCAAAATGTTAATATAAGGTATACATTTTGATTTGTACAATGTACCTACATTGTGTACAGGTACATATGTAGCTCTTATACATGGTGCCCAGTTTGTCACTTGGGAAAATAATTCTCATTCACACATACATGAAGGTGACCGAAAGAACCATAAATTTCTTTCTTGTGATGGTTTGGTCCCAATGATGGTAATTCTTCTTTTCTTGAAAATGAAAGCATTTATAGGCCTAAATGTATGACGTTTTATCCTATATTATTTACTTCCAATCAAGAAGGATCTTCCATAATATTTGATTGTTTACATGTTTATTTTCTCAGATGGATAATTAGGTTTCTTACTGTACATGAACACTCAGATTCTCTATATGTAAACATGTATACAATTTCTATTTATGTTCGAGGTCTAGGCTCATTATAGCATTGAGACTTTCCCTCCATTGTGCATTGGATAAAAACAAAGACCCCGACTAAAATCCTGCTTCACTGCCTTGGCATTTCTGAAATGTACAATGTACCGACAGGCTGGTAGATTTGATTATTTTAAAGGTGATTGAAATGCAACATACTGTGCAGCTTTTTCGAGACAAATGTCATTTCCATAACCTACATTGTATAATAAAAAAAACCAATGCTATTTTTACAGAAGTCAACCGTTGCGCATGCGTCAGTTGTCAACAGAAAAGTTCTGGGACTTATAAGTTTATTTCCCTAAAAAAAACAATTCTACAGAGCCACAAATTAGCAAGAAAAGTGCAATCTACTTTACAATCAAAAGTAGGATTTGGTTCAAATTTAATATAAGTAAAAAAATGCAAGTTTTCAGTTGACAGATCTACAAATGTGTACGCTGAAGTTGCACATTCAGTATGAAATTACAATGTGCATGTTTTATTGATTGCGAGGCTGAAAGATTTTTGTCCCCGTTTGCAAATTTCAGTGGCCGTTCTGGCCACCGCCATTCACAGAATGATTGATTCCTATGGCCTGACCTGAGGCAAGCGCCCCAGCAGGTGCAAATGAGATGAGACGACCAGCGCTGAGCTCAGGCAGATCCCTTCCACTTGACTGCCTAAGCTGCTTGGAGTAGAACAAGTGGCTGAACTAATCATGGCTTGTTTGAATACTGTGTCAGTTCAAGACTGCCGGCTGTCAAGCAATCAACTGTAACCATTTGCTCTACGTACATGTACATGCATGTGACACTTTTTAATACTTTGTAGTGTGCAGAAGGCTTCAATTAAAGCTGCAAGCTGCTACAAACAAGGACAAGTTGTGTTATTATTAACCCTAACTCCCTAGGCATTTTTGCTAAGATGCAACTTCAATCTTGCAAAATCCTCCAACTGCCTCCATGTAAAACTTGCATACAGCCTCGATCCTGCAAAATCCTCCGTTATTTCTTGAATGTGGTCCTTGGAGGGGTGACCAGTGCCTCAATCCTGCAAAATCCTCCAGCAATCACTGTCAATATGTCGAGGCAGAGCCAGTGACATCCTGGAGCAGTGCGAAGGATGTCCAATATAATCTAGGCCTAAATTTATGCACGGCTGAGCATAAACAACACAAGGTCCGGCCCAAGACCTTGACACAGTGCATCCTCCAAAATCAGCAACACATTTTTGCCATTATTTTGCCTCAATCCTACAATCTCCTCCATTTTTGCAAAGAGGATTTGGGAAGGAATTTTTTTGAAGAGGTCTTGCATATTGTGGATTTGACCATGATTTGTACATTTATACACGTACTCTATTTTAATTTTGGGCAGTTACTTGAATATAGACTGGACAAGTCCAATCTAGACAAATGAAACTGCCCTTGAAAAGAAAATGGGGGTGGGGGAGAAATGAACAACTGAATTACAAGGTTGTACCTTGACAAACTCTATGTGGAGATCTCCATGGAATGTGGAGGCTTCTTTCTGCACCTTCAGTTTGCCCTTGGTAATAGAGAATGGAATGATCTCGTCATGGGCCGTGCCTCTACCTGCGACGTCATAGATATCCAGCCCAGAAACCACTGTGTGTAGATCATTCAGGACAACATCGAAAACCTGAAATGGAAAAAAAGTTGAGGTCCACTGTAACTTTTTTTTAACAAATTATGTACAGGTACGACTACTCACAATCGAGTGAGAAAAAAAAGGAAACAAAACCTGTTTTGATACAAATAATATAAACAAAGTGGCTATCGTTGCGGCAGTTGTTGTTTAGCGCCCTCTACGATACTTTTTTGATACGCACGCAGGTATATAGTTATTTGTTTCCACACGTTTTAGGGAGCAGTGCGACAGCTCAATCGATAGAAGGTAGCATTTTGCACCGCGAGGTTGCGGGTTCGAATCTCAGTTTTGCACTCGAATTTTTTTCCTTTTCTAACCTGAGGCTTTGGAGGATTTTTTTTAAAAGGGAAATAAAGTCCGAATTTCATAACGTTCAAATTCACTTTTTTCCTTCTAATTTTATATTTTCTTGTCATGTTTTTATAAAAGTTGCAGTCTACCGTAACGATAGAAAATGGGAAATGCGTTACGGCTGCTGTAACAATAGCCACTGCGTAATATAAAATAACAAGATTTACACAGTACATACATCATTGCATACATGTACATGTACAATGTACACTGCACACGTGTAGATGCCTTATTTCAACACATTTGGAAACTATGTTTATCGTTGATTCAGCATGGTCAGTTCCAAATTTAACCTTTATTTTAACAAAAATTTAACTATCCATAACTGAGGTTGTATGGTGAAAAAAGGGCATCAGGATAGGGCATCAGTATAATAGTTTACCCCCATTATTGATGGATTAACGTACTCTTAATCTTGTGATAAGTAACTGACAACATTCAAAAGGTGATGGATGAAGCCTTGAAGGATCAAAATAAATTTCAGCCCACCTTCTGTCTTGACGCACCAAACCACACTTCACAGAACTTGAGCACCAAAACATAATCCCCGTCCTCTTCAATGCTGGTCGTGTAGCCGAAGGTATTGACATCATACCGCTCCGTCTGGTAAAGGATAGCGTCCTGCTGAGGGACCCGACCGATCACCGCCAGGTTCTTCCCAAAGTCCGAGGCCACACCGATGTCCAGCGGGTCGCCCTCGTAGTCCACGCCGTGGACGTCGCGGTGACCCGGGCCGCCGCAGTTGACGGCGAAAACCACCTCGGTCGCTGCGGCTCGGTGCACAGAAATATAACACACAAAGCAAGATAAGAGGACAGCTAGATATGTCGTGAACATCATACTGATGTGACAGGTGCGGAAGTGATCGGAAAAAAGTCTTTTCGACATTATTTCTCAAAAATGTTCAGACGCATCCGACGTGCCGTCTGTTTCCCGATCCCCGCGGCCGTACACGTACGTACGTATATCGCGATGCTTTTCTTGCAATGCATGTGTTCAGCGCTGGTTGGCCACATGTACAAAAAGCACTATCAATGATCGCGTTGTTATACATGTGACAAATTTTATTTCCTTTATTTTAAAAAAGATATAATAATATTGATATATCTCGTAAAAAAAATCCAATCAATACACAAGAATTCCGATAATTACTTTTTAATATTTTATAAAGTATAATTGTATGTAGAAATTAACCAATTTCAGCCACGGAATTGTCATAGAAAGATAAATGATTTTTGTATCCCATGATGCACTTTCAAAGATGGCAGCCTCCATGAGCAATTTCACTGTACTTGTTCTCTGCACTTTAGTTGTACATTTCTATGGATTGAATTGTGTATTTGCAGACGAAAATCAAGCCGGAGGTAAATCTAATTAAAGAGTACGCTTTGGATACTCTGTTTTGTTTTAATAAGGCGACCAGCTTGTTTTATTGCGACTTTTCTAATTCATTTGTGCACACGCAATGGAGTTTTCTGCATGAGTATGATGAGGGCGCTTTTTGCCACGAGAGTTTTATATGTTGTTTTGTTTTGTTTTTACGTAAGCAATTTAGTATTCAAGAGTGATGTGCATCAACCGGCCCAGTGTAAATCTGAAAGATTTTTGTTTTTAAAGGGAAATAAAATCCGAAATTGCAATCCTGTCTCGTCATGCTCGTGAATATGCAAATCGCCAAAGCGCGGAACCAGACGAAGATTCCTCACACTCACAGTCACACTAAAAATGTCTTTAAGTCTCAATAAACACTCACTGTGCATGTTCAGTGCCGTGCTGGTTCAACAACGAAAACAATCGGGGACTGGTTCACACAGTCGGTCACAGTCAAATATAGCCCCACTAGTGTGGCCGCAATATTGCTGCGCTGTATCTGTGACCACACGCCAGGTTCTCCTGCTCTCTTTCCACAAAATTAAGCCACATTTCTGATCATCAACATGTTTATCTTCATGAACAATTTAGATGATTCCAAGCACAAAGTGACTTTTCCTACTTGTCATCATAGCCAAATGTTTAGGTATTAAGTCCCAAAACATAAAATTGTCTTTGTTCTCTTAATATTTATGTAGAACAGGGTCCTAAACTACACGATTCCCAGCGTTCCCACCTCTTTCAATGAGTTTTATAATTAATGTTGTTTCATTCCATCTTTTCTGCATTTTTTTAATCAACACGCAGACGATGCCTTGTCCCCATCACAAGTGTGCTGGGGAAGTAAGCTGGTCACCAAGCTATGGACATCGGCCCCTTGCTGGTATGGTGTGTCATTTGTGACTGGAGCAGCCACGATACTGCTGGTGATAATTTGGTGGAATAAAAATGAAAATGTAAGTTTGAACGTCATTTAATCTCGAATTTCAACACCATAATTTATATTTCATTGACAAAGTCAGATACTGCCATTGGAAAGATTTCCATTTACGAAGTTCACTAATTTTCCTCTGTATTGACTAACAGCCCCCAGATAGCAATTTCATGTCATCAAAGTCAATTTGAGCAGTGAGAAAATACAAGCATTTTCATAGAAAACACTTAAAATTTTTCAGTCCAATCTCATAGGGTTTGTACACAGGGTGTTGAGTGAACTTCGTATATGGAAATCTTTCCTTGCCACTTTGACGCCCATGGTGTTTTTATGAGGCAGCTTTTCATTTTGAGAAAATGTAATTTGAAGCTTCAGTGTAAAAATCAAAGCCTTTTCTTTGTCATTTTTGGTGCTGTTTACAAATGTTTTGATAACTGTTTTGTGTGTACATTTTTAGGAAGTGAGAAATGTACGCATTCACGTACAGGCACCAAATGCAGCACCAGGGAGGGCAGCTGAAGGCAGACACCAGGCACCCAGGCAGGCAACAGGTGGTATCAGCCAATCCAAACCAAGATCCAGAGTGACAGGTGCAGCCACAGCCAATCAGAATGGAGATGTGACCGGAGGCCACCGGGTGGGAAGTTCTTCCCCAAAATACAGACTGAGGATTTTGTACGGCACCCAAACTGGAACTGCAAAGGTTTACTTCTTTTATTCCAGTTGTCTTTGCTTTTTTCCCCTTTACATCTTCCTACTTTGTGGATTAGGTTTGTCTTTGATTAAAACAATGTCAAAGGAGAGATGAAATATGTAACATTTAAAATGTCTCCTATGCTTTATTGTAGTTGATGGTCATTACATAAATTTGGGTATCAAGTTTAACAGAATTCAGGCATATGAGAGAAACATTACAAATGTACCTTCAGTTCAGAAAGGGAAATTTTGCAAAAACATACCAGTCATTTTTTTTTGTGTTTCATTGTTCCAGCATTTTGCAGAAGATCTGGCTAAGCGAGTGACCTCAAGTGGTATTGCTGCTGAGGTCATTGACCTCAAGACCTTTGACCCAGAAAGTCACATCATCCCAGAGGTAAGCTACAGTCAAAATGTACCTAGTTTACAGTTTTAATATTTAATCTCAACTTCCGTTGTAAGGGCCATCTGCTGTGTGGTGTACTGCTTTTTTTTTATGACGTATACATTCTCATACTCTTGTACAATCCTTATTTTCTGTCACTCAAAGGATAGAGAATACAGATTTTAGAAAGAATTTTTGGCATATTAAAACAAACCATTCTCTCTTGCTGTTTGATTCCCATATTAATTGTCATTTTTCCCTGCAGATAACCATGAAGTTCACTATTTTTATGATTGAATATTATTTATTTATGTATTTTTTTAAGTGTAAAACCCAATTTGAACTGTGAATGTGTTTATCCTCAATAAACCTCCCAGTTTGATATTAACCCTAACCGCCCTGAATCCTTCAAAATCCTCTTTGCCAAAGTGGAGGAATTTGGAGGATTGATGTTACATGGCAAAAGTGCGTTACTGATTTTGTAGGATGCACTTTGTCAAGGTCTTGGGCCAGACCTTGAGTTGTTTTTGCTCAGCCATGCATAATATAGGCCTGGATTATGCTTGAAATCCTCTGTACTGCTCCAGGATGTCACTGTCCAAGCCTCAACATATTGACTGTCACTGCCACAGGATATTGCAAGATTCAGGCAGTGGTCACCCCTCCAAGAACCATTTTCAAGGAATAATGGAGGACATTTTCAGGATTAAGGCTACATATGCTATTTTTGCAGGAGGCCAATTGGAGGATTTTTTTTGCAGGATTGAGGCTTCATCCTAGCAAAAAGGACTAGGGTTAAAAGATCTGGGAGGGTCGGGGCTAGTAGTGTTAACATTCTTACTTCTCTCCTCATCAGAGTGATGGGTTGGACCTGTGCATCTTTATCCTGGCTACCTACTCGGAGGGCAAGCCCCCAGAGAGCGCTGCCTGGTTCTGCCGATGGCTGGAGGAAGCCACCACAGACTTCCGGGTTCACAGGTCTCTCCTGCGAGGGCTGAAGTACGCCGTGTTTGGGCTGGGCAACTCACTCTATGAAGGCCATTATAATCAGGTACTTCAAAATAATGTGGTGCTTACGTAGTGCTTTATGCTGGTGTTTCAAATTGCTTCACATATGTTACCCTTGTTCTTCAGGCCATCAGATCATCAGTGCAGTTTGGTCAAATCTGAACTACTGACGCGACTAGGCCCTATACTTGAAATAGAAACTGGACTGAATTTAAACCAAGAAAATTTCTGGAAAAATGTAAGGGCCCAAACCTGCAAATTACGTGCAGAAAAAAAAAAGAGGGAGAAACTTTATAGAAGAACGCATACTTTAATTTTCATAGTCATGACTCACGAGATGGCTCAAACTAGTGTTTAGTTGCGGAGGTGCAATGTACATGTATGTTTGCGTGCGACAGTGATGCGCGCTAGACTCTGTTTACTGGTTGACAACTGTAACTTTGTACTTTCTAGATTAAGTGGGAACCAAGGAAATGCATGTCAGTACCATAAAATGCCCGGCTAATGATACAATATCTAATAAGCCATCAGCCTGGGGGTTTGGTCAGTATCAAATCAGGGCATAAATGATTATAATGAGCATGCGCAAGGTACATGTATACCGCCCCTAGAGTGGTAACAAGCATTTTGATGGACATTTTGAAAAAAAAGGTGATAAACACCCAAAAACCTGCCTCTGTTGCAATGCTATCACATATTTTCCAACTCTGGAGGTGTATACCTTGCCAAAAATTGCTATGACGATTATTCCCCTCATTTGATACCGGTGGCCAAAATTTTGGACCAAGGCTGATGGCCTATAAAATGATATTGTATAGTCAGCCGGTTACTTTTTTTGAAAGTGTACAAAACGCTGATTTCGTTTTAAATAACTGTTTAAAACAGCCACTTAATTGATTTTGACTGAATGGACTACTTGGAACAGAATATATGTTTGCATAGGAGGATTAATATTTACTACTATCATCATTAGCTTATTTACATCAACTGAAACTTCTTACTAGTTCAAGTTGGCCATCATCTGCTCTAAGCATGGCATATTGTCCTTGATGACTTACTGTGGATTCTGATGCAGGATGTTGCTTATAAGACTTGAACATTGTTCTTGGCAACTTTGTGGGGGTTGCCTCCTAAGACTGTTCTCCATCCACTGATGGCTGGGTATCATAGGAGCTGGAACATTGTTCACATTAATTGGAGAGGCTGATACCCAGCGAGTTCTGAATGCATACACTGCTTCCTTGCATTGGAATCTTGGCATAAGTCCATCCTGGATCATTGTTACTGACAACTTGCAAGTGTTGCTGGCACTCTTGAGACCCCTGTTCCCCTTGCAGGGATGGGCTGGAGTCAGTCACCCTGGAACATTGTTCTTGACAGTTTTTGAGTGATTGACTCCCTGCTGGTTCTTGATGCACTCCTATGGCACACTGCTGTTGTGCCTGGAACATTGTTTCAGAGTTACTTGCAAGTGATTGTTGACTAAGTATATGCTGACTCTGCAGACTGCGCCGTTACATGGATGGCTTGCACTCATCAGTTACCAGAGAACATTGTTCTTGACAACTTTCAAATGATTGACTCCCTTCTGGTTCTGGATGTGCATACTGCTGCCCTTGTGCTGATGGCTCGGTGCCAGTCAGCCCAGGACATTGTTCCTGAGAACTGGCAAGTGACTGCTGGCTCTTTGCTGGTTCTGGATGTACACACTGTTCCCCTTGCATGGATGGCTTGCAGTCAGTCAGACTAGAGCATTGTCCTGATGAGAACTTCCAAGCGCTGGGGTCCCTGCTGGTTCTGCATGTACCTCAACATGCACTTGAAAATGCTGCTGACTGTGCATGGATGCCTTGCTGCTGCTTTCCCTGGAACATTGTTCTTGACAGCTGTCCAGTGGCTGCTGACTCGCTGCGTGTTGTGCATGCCCTTGGCTTGGTGGCTTGCTGCTGCTTGGCCTGGCAGCACGGTGCTCTTGGACATTTTCTGCCTGTGGAATCACACGAAGCTCAATCTGCTTCCCTGGCTGCGATGGTCGGCTGGGATTCCGTCTTGGGCAGCAACGACAGCACAGTTTCAGGAATGAGAAAGCTTCGACCACAGCTGCACGATTGTCAGCATTTGTGGCACTGTAGACCAGGGGATTAATTGAGCTATTCGTAAGTCGAAAGATTTCCAAGCATATAAGCACAAAAGTCTCTTTATCTGCAAGTTTGAAAAATGTAACCTGTGTGGAAGGCTCAGTTCCATGATAAAAAGTTCCAACAATGATAATAATGAAACTTGCAATGTGGAGTGAGTTCAAAACAAAGAAAACAGCAGTATTGATGACAACCATACGGAGGACCTTTCCTGCTTGCTTGGGACGGTTTGGAAATGAGGCTGATTGCTTACGTACTTTGACTACTACACAGATGTACAAAGCAAGAGTCCCTATCAAAGAGACTGTGTGGATAATGGTTGGAGTATAAAATATAATGTCAGCGAAGATAGCGGCTGTTGTAGCTATTGGTAAGAATACCAGAATCACAGCAACGATAATTGCTGCCACCCAGAGTCCTGCTGATATCTTTGCTGCTCGAGATTTAGAGGATTTTTGCTTGAATGTCAGAGGATTGCGCACTGCAGAGAATCTCTCAGCTGCTATGATAAACACAAATAGATTAGAAGTAGCAAGAAGCATGTGTTGGACACTTATGACTGCTTTTATCCAGAAGATGTGCCCTACATATGAAAACAGTGCCAATACCAAGTCAGTTATAAGGTAGAGCGAGTCAGCCACAGCCAGATTGGATAAGTAGATGTTGATGATTGTACACATGGACTTCACTCGAATGACTGTGAAGAGAAAGGCTATGTTGAAGAGGAGGCCGACTGGTACAATGATTTCAGTACTTAACTCTATGATTTGAACATATCTGACTTGATCCTTGTCAAAGATCTCATAATACTTTGCAACAGTTTTCCATTCATTTGATGGAGTGGAGTTGTATTGGTAGCCATCACCCATAGTTCATGCACAATGTGGCATTGATCTCCATATCCAACATGTTATTCAGATGCAGCAAAGAGTTTTCTGCGTTATTTAAAGTTCACTCCAGTTTTATACAGGGAATACGTAGTTGAAACTAAAAGCTTAACTTTATATTCTTGTCAACAGTTTTTTCTTTATGGGATTTTTTTGTAAGGATAGGTTGTTTTTCCTATGTGTAACCGGTGAAATATTTGAAGCAATATTTCATCCATATAGTTTTTGACACCTTTACTTTTCCTATCTCTTTTGAAAGTTTTATTAATGTTTTGTAACCCATTAGTCGGTACGCGGGATTGCTTTTTCACAAGTTTTGGATTGTTTTCATGTTTTCAAAGTATTGAAATTATTATCATCTCCATTTTTTTATGTACATGTTATATTTTTGTTCACCACTGTGAGCATGAGTGAGAAAATCTGTCCTTTAGCCCTGGGTGGGTCAGCCACACATTCCAAGTTTCTGGAAAAGTAATTACCTCCAGGCAGGAGGCCTGACTTCATACCTCATTATTATTCATTAGACTCTAGCTTTTCAACACTAGTTACTTTGTTTTATCACCTCTTTAGCAATGACTGCTTATTCATAATCCCTATGTGGTTTGCCCAGGAATGTGAGGCACTGGCCAACATCCTGCTTGCCTGTGGTTCAGATAAGCTTGGTTCAGTCTTGTATTAGCCACCACTAAGAGCACACACATGTTGTAAAATCTTGTGATTTTAAAGAAAGTTTTTACAGCGCTGGCTGCGCTTTGCTGCCATGGGGCCACTGAAGAGGAATAAAAACAGTATATTTTCCATCTCAACTTGAAGATCCTGTGTTCCCCTGGTCACATATGTAATCTTTGTTTTGACAGCATGCAAAACCAAAGCAGGCAATAGTTTCACAGTTGACATTTGCATATATGTGTTGTTTCAGTATTTTTGTTTAATTTATTTTTTTCAACAGGTTTATGTTTGCATATCTACAAGTAAGGTACTCTGTATATTTTTCCAAAATATGAAGGGTGAGAAAAACAAAACGAAACCCAAATGTCGGGACCATTGTGTAACCGGTGAAATATTTTAAGCATATTTCAATCATATCTTTTTGGAGCACCTTTGCTTTTCCTATCTCTTTTGAAAGTTTTATTAATATTTTATATCCCAGTAGTCGGTACGCGGGATTGCTTTTTCATAAGTTTTGGATTGTTTTCATGTTTTCAAAGTATTGAAATTATTATTATCTTCATTGTTTTATCATGTGCATGTTATATTTTTGTTCACCACTGTGAGCATGAGTGAGAAAACCTGTCCTTTAGCCCTGGGTGGGTCAGCCCATGGAGCTATAGCTCCATGGTCAGCCACACATTCCAAGTTTCTGGAAAAGTAATCAACTCCAGGCAGGAGGCCTAGCCTTGTTCAATGCGGTCTCTCGGCTTTTTGTCGGAGGGAGATAATCGGGCCCTGCACCCACAATCAACGCGGCTACGTGCGTGTACGACCCTTGTCCGTACGAACGGCTAACACAACCAGCAAGCACACACACGTGAGTACGGACTGTACGCATGGTGTAATAAGGCAGTAAATGTAGGCCTACTGTGTTCTGCGTGTGGGTGTACGTACGTGTATATGGGGGATATACGCGCCGCGTGGCCTGTCGAACGTGGGTACAGTACAGTACATGCATGAGCTAGTCCGCGTAACCCAACGCCTTGATGGTTTTGAGTTGACCCAGCAAAACCTATTACGGTACTTCATTATTATTCATTAGACTCTAGCTTTTCTAGTTATTTTGTTTCATCACCCTATTCATAATCCCTACGTGGTCTGCCCAGGAATGCGAGGCACTGGCCAACATCCTGTGGTCTAGATAAGCTTTGTTCAGTTTTGCGTTAGCCACGGACAAGAATACACATGTTGTAAAAGTCTTGTGATTTAAAGGGAATATACAACATTTGCAAACATCAAAACATAAAACTACCAAGTTTTTACAAAATACCCTACTAGGATGTTGGTAAATGACAGTCTAAAGCATCCTGTAAAATTATGGCACCTGGTGTCAAGTCATTTTCAAGAAAATGGTATTTTTGTATACATTTCCAACGGTGGTCAGCCGACCACCGTTGGAAAAACCTAACTATTTTTCAACTACTGCTCCAAATTTACAATTTTTTTCCGTCCAAATTTTGTTTGCTATTGGTTACATGTTCATGAATGGTTGCAGGCCAGCTAGGCTGGTTCCCTTACCTTACAATTTTCCGACATCTATAAATTGATCCATTTTATCTTTAGTGGAGTCAGGGAACCAGACTACTTAAACAATTTTTGTTTTTCTTGGTTTTTTCAAGCATTTTCAAACACAAAACTTCAAACATGTCACTGAAACAATATTTGATCTATTATACTAACCCCTCAAATAGTTCATTTCTGAAAATTACAGCAAAAAACAATGATGTACATTCCCTTTAAGGAAAGTTTGACAGCGCTGGCTGCGCTTTGCTGCCATGCGGCCACTGAGGAGGAATAAAAACAGTATATTTTCCATCTAAACTTGAAGAGCCTGTTGTCCCCGGTTACAATTGTTTTAGTGAAGTTCTGCATGTAGCACTTTCAAAATCTAGGATATGAAAGCCCAATTCATAAGCTTTCTCGTTGTACCAGAATCATTCAAATCACTTATGTACTTTCCAGAGTTTTAAACACAACCGCCGTTTTAAGGTTCTGTCCACGGATCTCAAAACGTTCAGTGGTCTTTCAGCAAACGAAAACAAATCACTTAAGGATGTGTGTGAATTGTTTTCGTTTTGCTGAAAGAACGCACTCCTTTTTTTTGTGATCCGTGGACAGAACTTTAAAGCGGTGGTTGTGTTTGAAACTCCCTAACTTGACCACCGAACTTGCCGGGGTCAGCTGGGAGGTTCGAATCTGATGTAGCAGCAAGTACCGCAATGAGACTCTCCATAAGATGGAAGTTGCATCGGGATAATGGTGAATTCAATGTTGCGTTTTTCTTTGTTCTGTTTCTCAAGGTTGCTAGAGATGTGGACAAATGGTTGAGTACGCTGAGTGCGTCGGCTGTAGTTGAAAGAGGAGAGGGAGACCGGAATGTAGCTGAAAGCAAACACGGAGGTAATCCACTCCATTTTCATTTATCCACTAATACCCTGACAATCTACTTAGCGCTAATATTTCTTTCTCCAATCTATGTCGAACCAGATACTCGGAATTTCAGGATAAAAAAAAATCGATGTATTTTGGTTAAATATAGCAGGAAAAAACAGGGAGCAAACACGGAGGTAATCCACTCCATTTTCATTTATCCACTAAATACCCTGACAATCTACTTAGCGCTAATATTTCTTTCTCCAATCTATGTCAAACCAGATACTCAGAATTTCAGGATAAAAAAAAATCAATGGTTTTTGGTCAAATATGGCAGGAAAAAACAGGGAGCAAACACGGAGGTAATCCACTCCATTTTCATTTATCCACTAATACCCTGACAATCCACTTAGCACCAATATTTCTTTCTCCAATCTATGTCAAACCAGATACTCGGATTTCCAGGATTATAATATCAATGTTTTTTTTGATCAAATATGGCAGGGAAAAAAACCAGGTCGATGACATGAAATTTAAGAATGTAACTTGTATCTATTTTACATGTATACTCTTAGCCTTGTCATTCTGTAAATTTAGAGGTAATCAACAACATTTGCTTTTGCTGTCATTTTCAGAAATAGATGGATTTGGGGTTAGTATTTAATAGCAAATATTGTTACACTGACCTTTTTAAAGTTGTGTGTTCATATATAATGAAAAAAAAAAAAAAAAAAAAAAAAAATGCTGTCCTGGTAGTGTGGTTTCCTGACCCTACTTCAGACGGAACAGAGCAAATTATAAACGTCAGGGAATCGGCAGGTCAGGGAACCAGACTAGCTGGCTTGCCCCCATTGGATGTGTAACCGATTGCAAAGCTAAATTTGGTAAATTGAAAGTAATATTTGAAGGGAAAAAGAACATGTTTTTTTTCCAAAGGTGGTCAGCCGACTATTGGAAATTGATACAAAAATGCCACTTTTCTTGAAAAAGTCAGCACACCGGGTGCCATGATTTCACAGGATGCTTGAGACTATTATTTAATAACAGTTAAGTAAGGTGTTCATGAAAATTTGGTGGTTTCTTTTTTTTATGTTTGTAAATGTTGTTTATCCTTTAAATTTTCTTAATTACATACATTTGATCATTTTCATAGGTATCGAAGCAGATTATGAGGCATGGAAGACAACACTAATCCAGACTCTAACCAGCAGTGCAAGCAATAGTTGCTCCTCGGAGAAGCAGACCTGCGAATGTGGAAAAACACAAGGAGGTTGTTGCCAGGAAACTGAAAATGAAAACAACGATCCCAACGAAGAGGTAGATAAGTTGAAAAATAAATTCTTAAAATTGTGTACTGTTTTCCTGGGAACAATTTCACTTAAACCTGTAAACAGTGACACAAAAACACATTTTGTAAAATATAAAACTGCACAGTGTCTTTTGTCAAACATTTGAAGTTCGTATAAATTGATGCCATTGAAAATAAGGCAGGTATTTTTAGCTGAGATCACCTAATTTTTCAGAAATTCTGTCTTGAAAGCAAACTTTTAAAATCGCCTTTTGTGTTGGTTGTCAAAGCAACCCTTCTCAAAATTAGCAGGTCATTTGTTCGCAAAATCCTTCCCAAAATTGTGGGCATCACATGCTTCCTGTTTGCATACAATCTGTCATTTTAACAGCCCTATTTCTTTTTATTGTATTAGCTTGGCGGAAGATTATTGCGATTTTAGATGAAAACTTCCTTGCCAGATGTTGGAAAAAAAATAGCGTCGCAAACTTTCTACTTATGCACAGAAATGTTATTACAGGCATGTACATTGTAGGATCATTTGCATTTACCTTACATTTAACCCTAACCACCCTGAATCCTTCAAAATCCTCTTTGACAAAGTGGAGAAATTTGGAGGATTTAGGTTACATGGTAAAAAGCGTTACTGATTTCGTAGGATGCACTTTGTCAAGGTCTTGGGCTGGACCTTGTGTTCTTTTTGATCAGCCATGCATAAATATAGGCCTGGATTATGCTTGAAATTCTCCGTACTACTCCAGGATGTCACTGGCTAAGCCTCAACATATTGACAGTCACTGCTGCAGGTTTTTGCAGGATTCAGGCAGTGGTCACCCCTCCACGGACCATATTCAAGAAATAATGGAGGAATTTGCAGGATTGAGGCTATATGCTATCTTTCCATGAGGCCAATTGGAGGATTTTGCAGGATTGAGGCCACATCCCGGCAAAAAGGCCTAGGGAGTTAGGGTTAACCTTCCAAATTTTTGTCAAATTTCTTCCTTGGATTAAAGATTCCACTTCGGTGCTAAACACCCTGTGAAATTAATCTGAATTATTCCGTCTGGCTTGCTGTCATTTAGAAGAACCCAAGAAATGGAGGTGATTTCCAACGATCAGTCAGTTGGCTGATTTTTGGAATGAGTGCGATTGACAAAATTGTGTTTTGTGATCAAAATGTTGTGCACGGTTTTCACTGTTTTCTTGAAAAGTGTAATATCCACTGAGCTGAAACTTCAACAGGTTAGGCTTTGAACAGTCTTCCTTGGAATTGATTTTGAGTGGTGGTTTTATTGGAAACAAACGAAAATGCAAGACAAGGAAATGATTGATTTTGGAACTAGTTCGATTGACGAAATTGTGTTTTGTGATCAACATATTGTGCACAGTTTTCTTCGTTTTCTTGAAAAGTGTAATACCCACTGAGCTGAAACTTCAACAGGTTAGGCATTGAACAGTCTTCCTTGGAATTGATTTTGAGTGGTGGTTTTATTGGAAACAAACGAAAATGCAAGACAAGGAAATGATCCGATATGCCTAAGTTTGAACTATATTTAAAGAGATTGTGGAATGCTCGAAGACATTTCCGTCATTTTTGGGGTATATGTAGCTTTAGGTGTGATGAAATAAAAACGACTATTGTTTCTGTCATGAAATGAGTACAAAGGTTACTTTTGAGAGCTATTCAGGTCCTGTTTCGACCCGAACGTGCAATTTATGTAAAAGTCGTCGTTGCGGGCAGCAAACAAAACACAATAAATCGTGACGTAATAAACAGGACTCGTTTATGCTACTCTGCATCGGGAGTCCTGTTTATTACGTCACGATTTACTGTGTTTTGTTTGCTGCCCGTAACAACGACTTTTACACAAATTGCACGTTCGGGTCGAAACAGGCATGACAGGACTTGAAAAACAGCTCGCAAAAAGTACCTTTTGTATTCATTTTATGACAGAAACAATAGTCGTTTTTATTTCATCACACCTTAGGCTACATATACCCGAAAAATGACGGAAATGACTTCGAGCATTCCACAACCTCTTTAAGCCATGTTTGTTTGTTTGTCAGGAAATGTATGACAGCTCCAGTGAGGATGATAACAATGATGATGACAACATGGCGGACGGCAGTGAGGATGCCAAGAGCCGAATCACACAGACCAACGGCCTGACTGACCTGGAGGACCTGGGAAAGGTCATGAAGAAGATGAAGAAAGCAAAGGTCAGTTAAAGGTTAAGGGGACAAAGGGCAAAGGTCAAAGTTCATGCTTGAAGGGATTTTTCATGTAAAGATACATACCCTGTGATCTTTAAAACAAAATCATCTTCTTCTTTTTAACAAATTTTCAATTTATATGTTTTGTTCTAATGAAATCTACTTTAGTTTAATGTTGGGGTCTGCAGTTAACCTATCGTGGTAGAAACGCGTGAACGTGGCTTGTGAAATATTGTCCAGTTACATGATACACAAATGGATGCGGAACGCGCAAAAACTGAGACAAACAAAACTTAACGTGCAAAATTCCATAGGGTTGTCTAAGGGGCGTGGCTAACTCGCAAATGGTTACAGGTCAATTGTTGCCAATCATAGAATATATTAAAATCTTATTTCTCGTAAAAAGGTGTGACATCAATGTCAAGTTTTGGTTAATTGCGGACAGATTTTGCCGGAGGACATTTTTTGTAGGCTTCCAAAACTATGTTAACGATGGAAGTTTTAATGGTAACACAATTTAATCTGCTGTGCATGCACAGTTCTCTGAAGTAAAAATCTTCTGACTGGAAATTTGTTGTTAAGCTATAAAATTGAACATTTAATGGTTTATCTCTGTTTCTGACTCTTCCTCAGGAGTCCAGGGCGTCAGACAAAGCGTCAGAACCCAGAGAGATGATTACACCTATGCTGAGACAAGCACTGACAAAACAAGGCAAGTGCATGGCATTTACTGATCTAAAATGTACTGAGACTTCAAACAGTTTCAGTTGGACTTATTTACCCTAATTTTCCCACACACTTTAACATCCATCAGGAGGTTGTCGGAGAATTTTGCAAGATTGTCATTTTGGCCATCAGCCTGGGGGTCAGTATCAAATGAGGGGAATAATGCTCATTGTGATTTTTGGCAAGGTATGCACCCCTGTAGTTGGAAAATACATGATAGCATTGAAACGGTGGCAACTTTTTGGGCGCTATCACTTTTTAAAAAAAAGTGGCAGCCAAAACATTTTTCTTACCACATATAATTAATCCGGTTCAAGCTGCCACTGCTCACACTACAAAGCTATCATGCATTTTTCAATTTTAGATGTGCATACCTTGCCAAAAATCTCTATAAACATTGCTCTTTTCGATCATTGATACCGGTGGCCCAATTTTTTTGACCGAAGCTGACAGCCTAAGTAGATGACACCTTTTTTTAATTGGGGACTTCGAAAATTCAAGCAGCTTCCTAGCAAAAGTGCCAAAGTAGTTAGTTTGTTTATTAAAAATTCAGTTATTCAGTAATTGTTCTGAAGATATCTAGTTATTTGGCTGGTACTTTAAAGTCAGTTTATCATGTTATCCTAATTTTTTTAATATTCATTTTTTACAGGTTACAAGCTGATTGGAAGCCATTCTGGAGTGAAGCTGTGCAGATGGACAAAGGTAGTTACAAAACAGTCACAAAGTAGAGATCAACATGCAGAAGAAAAGTTTGGACATGATCTAATTCCATCCTCTCATTAACCCTCCTAGTCTTCTGCACTTTACAACCCTTCCAGTTTTGCAAAACCACTTTTGCCCATAATAGCACCCACACTTCAAATTCCTTTGTTGGCTGTTCCCCAATATGTCAATGTCTTTGTTAATGGGGCACTAATCAGAGGCAATATGTGCCATGTGGCCATGGGTCACCGACAAAGTAGAGATGCTTGTTACAAATGCAAAGCCGCAAACCTTGGAATGGCATACCTCAGAGAGAATCCATTTTTTACTACATATTATCAAATTCAATGTAAGAGGTCCTTTTTTTGGCCATTTTTGAATTTTGTTTTCATGATTCTTGTTCCTGTCAGAGCATGCTGCGTGGTCGAGGGGGTTGCTACAAACACACATTCTACGGCATTGAGAGCCATCGCTGCATGGAGTCCACACCCAGCCTAGCCTGCGCAAACAAGTGTGTCTTCTGCTGGAGGTAAGGTGCCACACTGACACTCTCGCCTGAAGGGTCATGTCAGGCTACAATCTTGACCAAAATGGTTGGGACACTTGGAAATAACCGTAGCCTTTCACGGTCACCCACTCCCCCGCTCCCCCAGTCAATGTTGTTCTCTCCAGCTGATGGAGCACACACCGCACAATGAGAGACAACATTGAGCGGGGGGTTTGGGGCCCAGCGAGATTTGGCCAGGATTGTAGCTTTTGAGTTGAACTGTGACAAAATTTTAATTTTTGTATTTTTTTGGCTCCAAGCCATAATGTTTTATTCATAAGTGCCATTACTACATTGTATTGCTTTATATTTTTTCCCTGATGAATCCATAAAACTATGGAGTGCTGTGACTGTTTGGGCGCAGGAGGGAGTAACGGACTTACACTAGACACTCATTGATTTCCTAGAGCTTAAGAGAAAGAAAGTACCTGTAATTTTATTTTGAAATATAGTAAAAGTCCAGTATTAACCCTAATCTCTACTATCTTTTACTAAGTACTGGACCAAGTCCACCAAAATCCATCAATCACACTGCTTCCAATGCAGGCTTTGCTTTAGGCCTAGGCCAAAATCCATCGAACTCCATCAATATCTAGTCAAACCAGGTCCGCAGGACCGATTTCCCACCAAAATGGGAGGATGGATTTTGATAGAGTTGGGGTTAACTGTAGCTTGTGTATTTGTAGCAGAAAGATATAGTGCAGTCTGAAAAATGTTCTTGATTTCTGTACATGGTATGAATGAATGCAGTGCAAGACCAGTTCCTGCAGTGGGATTCATCTCTTCATATTGGAAAGCATTGGTCCAAAATGTCACAATGTGTGTATTTTTCTGGAATCTTTTCAAGACATCACACCAATCCAGTGGGCACAGAATGGCGTTGGAAGATGGACAAACCGGAAGAAATCCTAGAGGGCGCTCTTAAGAACCACTACCAACTCATCAAACAGTTCAAAGGTAATGCAACCAAAATGACCACAAAACAAATGGAAAAAAACGTCTTGACTTTACAGAAGTCAACTTATCTTCCAGCCATTAACAAGTGATCATTTTCTATTTGAAGTTAAATTGGAAAATCTTTTTCACTGACTTTTAATTAACTAAAAAAACACTGTTGCTATATGGGCTCCGTGCGCCAACAAAAGAGGGCGCATTTTTACCACTTTTGAGAGCTCCGTGGACGGGTCACACACAGCGTGCATGTACCGTACTGTACTGGTTCGCACGCAAAGTACGCACGACTTCCTGAATGTGCCAAAGCTATTAGCCACAGTGTCTTCACGTGAGCGTCAGGCACTGTCGGCGTGCGAATATGTTCGAACTTAACTTGCAATGGTGTCCCAGACTAATCCCTGTCCCCCTGTAACTTTGGATCATTCGAAATACGCAGTGGATAGACCGGGAACCAGTCTAGGTCTCCCCCAACTCTCCTTTTCTGGCCATTGAAGGAGAACTTGTGCACGGAGCCCATATTGGTGAATCAAGGAATCCTTTTGCCAACTTTCAATGGAGTGTCAATGTGTTTAATCAGTTAGAGAGGCTCCAAGATGCCTGACCATTCTAGAGCTGGTGGTCACTGGCGTAAGGCTTTCCCCGCTTCATTCGATACAGACCTTGTTTTCATCCCGAGTATTAAAATTTCAGTATCCAAAAGACTCACTTACTTACTGGCCAGTATCGTGCATTGCTGCACCTGCTGCTTGACTAGAAAGATGCCTCTAAATGGTACGGTCCCTTGCTGCCACCTCTGCTTCCTCTACAGACCACCCAAAGTCCATTCTGGTAATGTCTCTCTGGATGATCTCTCTCCATGATGTCTTTGGTCGACCAGGTCTGCGTTTTCCATGGGCTGGTTTCCAGTAGCAAAGCTTTCTGGGGATCCGGTCCTTGTTCATACGTTGTAAATGTCCGAACCATTACAGGCGCCGTTTCCTGATGATTGCTGAAAGCTGAGGTTGCTTGGTCCGAGATCTCATGGTGTTATTTGAGACATGTTGTGACCATACAACTCAAAGGTTTTTTCGATGGCAGCGCATGTCAAAGGCATGCAGTCTGGCCTCCTGTCTCTCTGTGAGACACAATGAAAAAAATAACTTGAGGTCAATTTTTGTTTTCTTTCTATTTGACTGTTATTTTCCACAGGTGTACCGGGAGTGAAGCCAGAGCGTATGGTTGAAGCCATGAACGTCCAGCATTGTGCCTTGTCGTTAGTCGGTGAACCCATCATGTATCCAGAGATCAACCGCTTCGCTAAGCTGCTCCACAGCAACAAGATCTCAACATTTCTCGTCACCAACGCTCAGTTCCCGGACGCTATCAGGTAAAGGCCTGAGACATAATGTTGTTACACTTTGTGTATAAATGTACATTTAATGGAGTCAGGTTGGGAAGATTTCTTTTATGAGTAGGGGCTTGCCTCTTTTGTATAAGCCTTTTCGGAGTTCTAACTGCGCGCATTCGTAACCTGTGACAACGCACATTGTTTGTCTCAAATGCCCTTTGACAGTACCCACAATGCACAAACAGCCTTTTTGTAAAGTCAGTGGCGCGATGATGTCAAAGGCCATTTGAGACAAACAATGCGCGTTGTCACAGGTTGTGAATGCGCAGTTGGAACTCCGAAAAGGCTTATTATTGGCCACAAAATCCTTTTAGGAGATATTTTCTTTGAGAAAATATTTTGAGTTATTAAAACATGTTGTAGAGTTAGACATTGGGATATATTCCTTTTTACTTTATTTATTTTTTTTCATTTTATTTTTTTTGGGGAGGGCTCTATTCTACATTTCCTGAAACTGGATTGTACCGCCAGGAAAAAAGGAGAATATATTTTTGTCAGAGGAAGGTGACCATTTTATGTTGTGTTATCTGGTGCCACCACATAATTATCTGGTTTGGCAGCCGTTGCATCCATTATCTGGCAACTGTTATTATGTGTCTCACAAAATATATTGTGGCGGATTGGCGCTGGCGGCGCTATGCAGTGACCTAGTTTTGGCAGCTATTTTGGGGGTCGCGTGATGCACAGCGCGTGATCACTGCATGATCATGTACAGATGTGCCAAGCGGGCTTACTTGGCGCGTTTTAAGGCAGTTCACGTCTGGCGGTCTCACAGGAAGGATCTGTATGCTATAAACAGTGCTTTTAGAATTAGAGTCTTTAGAATTATCAGATTAGTACGAAACCAAGTGATTTGTTAGTGTACAAGGGTCAGAATAAACCAATCATCAAAATCAAGAGAACATTTCATCGTCCAATTATTGTGTGGAATAAATAAACAGAAATTGACGTTCCCCAGAAACCTTTACCGCTCGAGTCCTACGTTACAATATTCATCCTGCACTTCACTTGCGCCATCCAGCTTGCATAACAGTTGGCACTTAGTGACAAAAGTGTATCCATAATTATGGGGAAAAAAAGCTTTTTTTTTTAATTTGCTAATTTTTTTTTTAAAGAAACATGGTTCCAGTAACTCAGCTGTACGTGAGTGTTGACGCCAGCACCAAGGACAGCCTGAAGAAGATCGACAGACCGCTGTTCCGTGATTTCTGGCCACGATTCCTAAGCAGCCTGGAGGCGCTCTCAGAAAAGGTAAACTTGGTCAATTTGCTTTTGTGGCAAGCGTGAGCCAGCCTTAAAGGTATTGTCCATCATTTATTTGTAATTTGTGCATTTTGTTCGTTTGAAGCAACAAAAGTGTTACCCATCTAAAGAAGGGTGCTGAACAACTAACCTGATGAAGTTTCAGCTCAACTTCAGCTTTATATTTTGAGAAAAACGGCATTCTAGGATCTCGATTTCTAATCAAAAGTTGCTGAATCATGTTTTAAATTGGGCCTGAAATCAGCGTCTGCGACACGTTCTCACTGAGCAGATTGTAGCTATGTCGTGCACCGATCTGTTGAATTAGCGCAGCTTGTGCGCACTTCGCCAAATAAAAAAACAAACTACTAAATTTCCAGCGGTGTGTCTTAAGCCGCACTGTTGGAAAGGCCTTCTTTCTTTGATTTCTTCAAAATGACAGCTTGCCAGAGAGAATAATTTCACAGGGAGTTTAGTCCCCTTTATATCTTTCAACCAAGTGTGTTTGTTAACAATAATTATGTCAGTTACTTTTTGGATAGTTGCAAATGATGAACTATAGCTTTAAGTTTAGAAATTTAATAATTACAACATGTACTTGTTGATTGTAATTAGTTCTTAAAAACAGTTGAAAAATAAAAACAGTTTCTAATTTCTTTTGTTGACAGGGTCAGAGGACAGTATATCGCTTGACCATTGTCAACGGTTGGAATAACGAGGAGATTGAGGCCTACGCTAACCTGGTCAGCCTCGGCAAACCAGACTTCATCGAGGTCAAGGTAATATCCAATGACAAACCAATGAAAGTTGCAAGAACCAAAAGAACCAAAAGAAGAAAAATTCTTTTAAAATTGTGACCTGCTTCCACAAAGTGATATTAGCATGAAAAATACTTTAAAAGATGTATAATTATTTCCTTTTATCACCTTTTTTTTTCAAATTACCCACACATTTAATATTAGGTTTTGCCCTTCACCAATGTATACACACTGTATACTCAGTGTGTTACCTCCCAAGTGAAAGTTGGAAAAAAATCACTCGGGTGGGACTTGAACCCACGACCCCCTGCTTTCTGGTGGGTTCGAGACCCACCCGAGTGATGTTTTCCAACTTTTACTCGGGAGGTAACACACTGAGTATACAGTGTTTATGTGTCGGTGAAAGGCAAACCTAATATTAAATTACATCACCCCGATTCAAATTCCATCTTATGAATTCCCACACATTGTAAAAATCTGTGACAGAGTGAAAGCAAAATGGTGGACAGCTCTTTTGTTCTTTATTGTTATTTTAACAAGTTGGCTCTTTGAAGAGCCAACTTTAAGCTCACTATGTTGAAGCAGATCAGAATAGTTTGGCCATAATCTATTGAAGGGATCCACACACAAAGACGTTCCACATGTATAAACGTACTTTGGTGTTATGATGTACATGGTAATGTTGAGACTCAATGACAAATTTCTTGCAGCAAAACTGTTTTCAGTGTAGAGGCCTTACTAATAATGGAAATACCTCAAGCGATTTAGATCTTTGACTTTCATGACCTTTGACCCTTATGACCTTTGACCCTTGTGACCTTTGACCAGGGAGTGACCTACTGTGGCGACTCCAAGGCCAGCACACTGACCATGAAGAACATCCCCTGGCATGAAGAGGTCGTGGGCTTCGTCCAGACACTGGTGGACTTGCTACCAGACTATGCCGTCGCCAGCGAGCATGAGCACTCAAACTGTGTGCTGGTTGCACACAAGAAGGTAGGATACATGACATTGGCAAGCGTTTAAAGGGGATTACAGCCTAAAATCCCAGAATATTTCATGTTTTGGATTGTCTACTTATACTATTTCCGAGGTCTGGTTGAAAGGAAACAAACCTAATATCTTACCGTTGCCGAGAAAAAACCCCCCAAAAATGGTTGTTTACTTCGGATGCGACGGACATTTTGTGGCATACCCATACGTATTTCAAGTCGTGTCTATTCAGTGCAGCGTACATGTTATCATGTTATGTGTGTGATACATAATACACACATTACCAATGCACAAATGCTGTTTCTCACACGTCCGCAGAATACGAACCACTGTGCGGCAGGATTCACAACTAGCACTCAACAGCCCGATTTTTCGGGGACAAAATTGTGACCCCGAAATTCGTTCGTTCATGGTTCTTGCAATAATAACACAAAAACGCCCAGTTTTTAAAGTATATTTGTGTGGACGTTTATATTCTACTTTTAAATGCTCTTCCTGTTAATATCATTGCGTTTAAAATGGGTTTTGTAGCCCAATTGGGCGCACTCCAGGCTGCAATGTCTCGTCAACATAGCACCTGAGGCGATTTCTATTGCAGCAAACAAGTTGGATGAATAATTTCAAATATTGGTAGCAACTAACTGCTACATTTTAGCAGAAGTAAAATCCATTTTATGATTAGTAATTTTTCTTATGCGCACTGTTGAGTTGTCTGAGATGTACATGTACGTCCAACACCGTGCCGCAGAACCGCCGCAGTCTAACCTGAATATGTATGATTGTTTCAGTTCAAGAAGGATGACGAATGGTGGACGTGGATCGACTACAGCAGATTCCATGAGCTCATCGCGGAGTACGAGTCAAGCGACGGGGAGAAGCGATTCACGGCGTCCGACTACATGTCCAAGACCCCGGCCTGGGCGGTCTATGGGTGCAAGGAGCAAGGCTTTGATCCTAACGAGACCAGATTCAGAAGAAAGGGAAAGAACAAGGACTTGTCTGGCTGCTAGAGTTGAGCAAAGATCAGTTGAGCAAAACCTGGAACAGGCTGCCTGGATTTTGGTTAAAAGCATATGGGATTGTTTGCATTTATCCCAAAAGTAACCTACCGAATTATCAAAAAGCAGATTAAAGATCGTACTGGTACTAAACACCCTGTGAAATTATTCTGTCTGGCTTGCTGTATAGAAGAAATCAAAAGTGATTTCCAAGGATCAGTCAACTGAATTTGATTTTTGGAAATAAAAAGTGCTATCGACAAAATCTTGTTGCGTTATCAAAAGTGAGTGCATGGTTTTCCACTTTTTTTTTTAATTGTGATATCCACCGAGCTGAAACTTCAATAGGTCGGGTTTTGAACTTTCTTCTTTGGATTTCGAGTGGTATCATTGGAAACGAACAAAATCCATGAAAAGCATGATATGCTTTTAAAGATTTGCAGAAATTAAAATGGAAATAGTGCAAAAGTGGTTATGAAATATTGATAAGTACATGAGAAATAAACATTGAACAGTAACTACAACAGTACAATTTTATTAGACACAGAAACAAACAAAATCAAAGGACGACAAACAGACAGGCACAAGCTCACGCACACACAAAGAAGCAAAACAAACATGAAAAAACAAACAAACAAACAAACAAGACTAATGGGAGACAAACACACAAAGCAAGACATGCATTGGGGAAAATAGACAGATCTAAGCACAAAGAACATTACAAACAAACAAGAAGTTTCAATAAATTAGCAAACACAAGTAGTTCAGAACTTTATTTCTCATGCATGTACTCATCATTGTTTCCAAACCGTTTGTACCACCGTTCCAATTTCAGTTTCTGCGATGATTTTTAGCCAAGAATTGTAAATATGCCTGCTGCAATAAATTGGCCGTTTCTGTACAAATAGAAAGGACAAATAGGAGTGCTGGACAGGGTGTCATGTGCGAATCAAGTTTTGCTATAAATAATTCCCTGCCATCGTCGAGAAGAGTGTTGTCTACTGGCAAAGAAGGGCTGAAAATTACTGCCGAGATCATTTGTTTAAAGCCGTTCTTTTAGCACTGGGTATAGCATTGTAACATTTACATTTTTCCATAACAGATATCCCCGTTGGTTTGCTGATTGTAATTATCATATTGTCCTATGAGGGTCATTATTGGTGGCATTTTACTTGCAGTGTACAAAGGCTTTCGACGTATATATTTTTATTTCTTTTTTTAACAGTAATAAAGCATTCCAAACTATTTTGGGGGTTTTCTAACTTGCTTTCCAAGAATCTCCATTTTCCAGCATTAGAGGATAGTGAAAACAATAATTATTTGAGTTAAGACAATTTATCATGACTTTTGATATACTGATCAAAACATCCAAGTCTAAGGTAATTACTTCACATACAAGTTTTGTTTGTATTTTATAATTATTCATTATGGAAAGTAAGGGAACTTGAATATACTAAAACAGCTGTGAAAATAAGTCTGTATTTTTTAATTTTTTTTAATTTAAGTACTGTTTAGAGTTTTGCCAGAAATTGATTTTCTTTTTTCTTGTCTCATAAAAAAATGGTTGGCTGTATTATGCTCAATGACAGCACTATCGGTCAATTTGCATTTTAAGGGTCCTTTGCTCATTACAAGGAATGAATACTTTTAAAAAATGGGAAAAAAATAAAATTTAAGTTTCTACAAAAGCAGTTGTGGTTGGCACTAATAGCTTGAACCTGTACAGCGTTACAGCTTGTTTTTAATCTTGAGATCTTGGTGTGCTTGCATGAATCTGGGAAGTTTATACTGCAAAGCTGATCAAGTATGATTTTCTTGATGTTTTCGTTAACTTTTTCTAACTTAAAAAAACCCACTAATCGCCAAAATCTAACACACGATATTGCTCAATGCCATACTGTACAGCTATTGAGATATTACTATAAGTTATCCCACGAGCGCAATGGTAACACGGAATAATGCAGTGTGTCTGTGTTCCACATACCACGAGGCTGAAGGCCGAGTGGGTTATGGGATGCAAGACACACAACGTTTCTGTGTACCATGAGCATGATTGGGATAACAAGTTTATCTTCAAGCAAACTTGACGCACAGTAAAGATGGAACACGCACGGGGTACACAAACTTTTCAGCAGTTATCCTATGATACGTGTGTGCTGAAGGAATGGCGCGTGCATCTTGGAATGGCGTGATATGCAGAGTGTGATATCGCCCGTGCTATTAGGTCTTATATCACACTGTTGTTGCCATGGATCGACCAATCAGGATCAAGGATTCAAGTTTTCTTAAAGATAAAATATGTTATTGGGTTACTCAAAAGTGTTGGATTTTGGCAGATTCTCAAAGATTTCGGAAAGATTTCCATATAAGAAGTTCACTCAACACCCTATGTACAAACCCTATGAGAGTGGACTGAAAATTTCTAAGTGTTTTCTAAGAAAATGCTTGTATTTTCTCACTGCTCAAATTGACTTTTATGACATGAAATTGCTATCTGGGGGCTTGTTAATCAATACAGAGGAAAATTAGTGAACTTCTTATATGGAAATCTTTCCAAGATTTCTTGTAAATATTGCCTTAAGGGTCAGGGTCGTTGTATCTTTGTAGTTTATGAAATATGTAACATCGTACAAAGCATCAACATAACACTAACAGTATTGCAAAAAAATAAAAGCATCTTTTTCACTGACCATGTAGTTACCTCAAGTCATTTCAAAATACATACATTTGACAATGAAGTTTTTGTCATGATGCATTGAACAGGCAATGAAAATGGTCCTCATTGACCCTGATTTCCTGCATGTTCACTGCTCAAAAGTCAAGCCACACCAACAAAAAATCAACTCGATGTAGAAAAAAACATAGCAGTGCCAATGGACACACGACAGCTTTCCCAAAAGCAGCAGTTCCTCTTGCCACTTTGCCGATCACACGCGCTGGAAACATTGCATTCTGATCTGAAGAATGAACTGGAAAGTTTCATACATTTATAGAGCGAGGATATTTTAATCGGGCAAGCTCGCATCATTTTATACCGACACACATTGTGGGCATGGGCGGCTAGTGCATAAAGCGCTTGCCTCTCACCACTGTGGCCCTGGTTCGTTCCCGGCTGCGGACCACATGTGAGTGGAGTTGTGCGTTGGTTCTCTCCTGTGCCATGAGGGTTTTTCTCAGGGCTCTCTGGTTTTCCTCCCTCGGAAAAAATCAAACACTTTGGATCTCTGGCTGTGCTCCGTGGTCATATATTGGTCATATGGCTGGCTACCAAAGGCGCCTTTACATCAGGCCTGCAACTTTTCCTCGGATCTGCTGATTTCCTCGTTTTTTACTTCTCATGAATGCCATTGCAAATTGCAAAACACTGTACAAAGTCTTGTGTGGTTCGGAAGTTCCTCGTTTTTCTAAATTCCCAGTTGCATGCCTGTTACATGCTTCTTCTGCTTCTGCTGGATACTATGCAAGCACCACGAGGGCCCAATTTCATAGAGCTGCTTAAGCAGAAAATTTGCTTAAGCACGAAAAAACATTGCTTAGTAAATTTAGGCTACCGGCCAAAACTCCATGTGATGTACATTGCTTATGACTGGTATTTAGCTGTTGTTTACTTAGCATAACAATCGCATGGAGTTTTGGCCGGTAACCTGATTTTATTAAGCAAGACGTTTTTGTGCTTAAGCAAATTTTGTGCTTAAGCAGCTCTATGAAATTGGCCCCTGGTGGTGGTTATAACGCATAGGTTCGACCACGTTATAGCCGCATCCTTTGCAATTCAGCTTCTCAGCTGCAAGAAAGGACGACCAGCCTTCACAATTATTATTATTATTATATCGGCACAGAGTAGTGTTTTGATTTGGTCCATAGTAATAATCGGGTGTTCACTATGTGTCCTCCAAGGCACCGTCTCCAAACTCCTCCTCCTCCTGCTCCAGGGTGCATCGACGAATCGACTCCCGAACTTTCTGCCTCTCCTCTGCAAAATGACAAGACAAGACAGCAAAGTTGCCAAAAAAATCAACTGTGAATGTGGCCTATGCATTGTCAATGGAATAGGGGGGCAGGGCAGTTGGGACTTCAACCAACAGTATTGCATGGTAATAAAAGCACCAATGCTGACAGGTCATGTAGTTAAAACTTTTAACCACTTTTTAACATCAATCTTAAATAGATATGAGCCTGGAAATTTCCTACTTTGCGCCGCAAGATTTTGTACTTGTGATTCCTCACCCTTTGTTCTGCATTGCCTGAGTAGGACCACCAGCTGTCGTCTGTTGTACTTGACCAGAAATTTCTGGCAGGATCGGATAGTTCCTTTGAGAGATAGATGGTAAAAATATTCATCATCAAGAGTCATCGTCTATTATTTTGAGAGCACTCTCAAGCAAGGTGTGATAGCTGAAAATATTAATGCGGCCTAATGACACTTGACTGTATTCTATAAAATATAGTTTATGATAAAATTTAAATATGTAATTCTTTTAAAAACTTTTTAAATTTTTGTTTTTGTGAGTGGCATTCGCAATATTTTCAGGCATAGATATTATGGATGATTGAAATTTCCCATTTTCACATATACTTCAGATTCCTTTTTGATACATAGAGGGACTTGTATAAAAATGTGTTTAATTTTTCTCTTTTATTTCTCAAGAAGTTATGTGACTTCCAATGGATATTTCTCAATTTGGAAATAAACTCTTAAACTTCCCAGTTAAAATGTTAACATGAAATCAAACTAATATACCCCTACCTGATATGTGTAATGTTCGCATTGTGACAGGGAAACTGGCCACCGATTTGATGAACGGTAACGTCGTACTGAGAATCTTCTGGTTTTGGCGTCGGACTCGAATCATCATGACGCCTGTGTCAGGGTTCAAGTACTTCACTGTAACAAGAGGGAAGACGTGGGGAAAAAACATAAATCAAAGGAATCCCACAGACAAGCTGTAATTGGTTATTGTTTGATTTCATCCCAGTATGAACACATGCTGTTGTTGGAACTCTGTTGATGTTTAACATCTTTGGTGACATAATTGACTGTTTGTGTTCATCATCATCGTGTCGCCCACAGGCGGGATCCCCTTCGGCATCTCCAATCTTCCCTATCCTTTATGCAGGCAGCCAACTCTGTTGTGGTCTCTGCCCCGGCATCTCTCCTCCGGACACCGACATAGCTCGTCCTCTGTCTTCCCCTCAGCTTCACCCCATGAGTCGGTTCCCACAGCACCAGACGGCTTGCAGGTAGCTCAGGGTGTCTGCAGCAGTGCCCTGCCATGCCCATCCGCCTGTATGCGATCCTTTGTGAGATCCGAGGTAGCATGCTGTAGAGCGTGTTATTAGGCGCGTGGTCTCTCCAGTCGATGTTGAGCACCATCCTCGACATTCTGGTGTAACACTTGTCGAGGGACTTCTGAAGGGTCGTGGTTAAGGTCCAGCACTCACATCAATATAGCAGGATGGACTCCACTTGGTCTTTGTGTTCAGACGAATACATGGTACCCTTTGTCTTTAACCCATTAGCCCTGAAAGCGCCCACAACCACCCTGCCATTTACTCTCAAACCGCCCTAAACCACCCTAAACCGCCCAGCACTCTGTTTTTTTATTGATTTATGGAAGGTTATATTAATACAATGCACACATTTAATACAATTTTATATAAACTGCAAAGGGCCCTGATTGATGCTTAGTGCAAACAGCTTAAAAAGTGATATTTACTGCTCATGCTGCTTCATGAAACTTGCCCAGATACAGCACTATTCCATGAAGATGCTAAGCACAGATAATATTTGCTTAGCAAAAACATTTCCCAACCAAAATCTCATGCAACATTTAGGCCTACTGCTTGGGGACTTGTTATTGTACTTGGCTAATTGTTGCTTAAAGGGAATATACATCATTTGCTTTTGCTGTAATTTTCAGAAATGGATGGAATTGGGGGGTTGGAAATATATAGCAAATATAGTTACACTGACTTTTTTGAGGTTTTGGGTTCGAAAAAAAGTTATAAAAACCAAGAAAAACAATCATTTTCCTGTAGTCTGGTTCCCTGACTCCATTTAAGAAGAAACAGAGCAGTTTACATATATTGGGGAATTGTAAGGTCAGGGAACCAGTCTAGCTGGCTTGTACCCGTTCATAGGTGTGTAATCGATTGCAAACAAGTGCGATGGTCAACTGGGGCCAGAAGTTGAAAAAAAGCCAGTTTTTTCCAACGCTGGTCGGCCGATCAGCGTTGGAAATTGATACAAAAATACCACTTTTCTTGAAAATGACAGTATACCAGGTGCCATGATTTTACAGGATGCTTTACACTGTCATTCACTAACAGTCCAGCAAGGTATTTCAAAATGATTTGGTAGTTTTATTTTTTGATGTTTGCAAATGTTGTATTTTCCCTTTAAACTTTGCAAAAAGAAAGATGTTGTGTGTTTTAGAGCACATACCATTTAATCCCCATGCTATGGCGGCTGCACCATAGTCTCCGTGGATCTGCCTGACGGCGTCTTTGACGGCATTGTACAGATGCTGATTATTGACTGCCAAAGCTCGCCAGATGGCATCCTCAAACACCAACTCGCATAGGAAATACCTACACAATCAAAGTAAATAACAAATATATTTGTAAGCCGGCAATTAAGCCTAACCATCTAGTCCTCCCCCCGGCTGTGACCAAAACTTTCTCAAAAAAGGCAATGTTCCCCCCCCCCCCCCCCTAGTATTTAACCTCATTTTGTGAATTCCTCATGTGAATTCCTGCGATGAGCATGTTAGCTGGAGTTACTCAAGCTTGTCTGGTCCATGCCTAAAATTTTAAACCTGAAGCAGAATCGGAAAAAAATTCTCCCCGAATCATTCGCTTACCTGTTCTTTATCCTCACCATGTCCAGTTAAAATATCTCTCCAAGAGTTGACAACCAATGCCTGTGTATCAATTCTGTAGTTTCAATGCAAGTACCTACTGTTGTTTCAGCTACAGCCTGAAGAAAACAAATCAAAATCACACTTTTTTTTCTAATTTATTGTCAAGCTCAGGTTCCCCTTCAGCTAAGTGCCAAGTTCATATTACATCATAGGCGACTGAACCTCCAACTTCTTTATCCCCACTCTTACTACTTCTGAAATCAGAAGGCTACTCGTAGCAGCCTTCTGATTCCAGAAGTACACTACTACTACCGAGTACTGGCTCAATGCTCAAATGCTGAACTTCATATTTTGAGCCACACAGCCATGCTAAAAAGCAGCAGAATAGCAGAACTCCCATGCACCAAATAAAGTCAATATACGACGGAAAGATTTCCATATAAGATTAAGAAGTTCACTAATTTTCCTCTGTATTGACTAACAAGCCCCCCGAGAATAGCAATTTCATGTCATCAAAGTCAGAGCAGTGAGAAAATACAAGCATTTTCTTAAAAAACACTTAGAATTTTTCAGTCCAATCTCATAGGGTTTGTACACAGGGTGTTGAGTGAACTTCGTATATGGAAATCTTTCCAAACACTGAATTGTATTTGTAAAACAAATATTGGTGCAATACCAAGTGGTGTTTTTTTTGGCAAGTTCCGGGCAGACGACACAAGTCACACATACTTACGCCTAAACAGCGCCCTCTTTTGAATGAATAAGGCTTGTCACATGTCTAGTGTCCTTGAATCCCACTCATTCAAGAATCAAAATGTAGTCTGTTCATAAAGCACCAGACTAATGTAATTGCTTTCCCGAAACGCTCCAGACATAAGCGTTGACATCTGAACGGAATATTATTGCCACAAAATTGCTACAATTTTTGATTCTTTTTGCAGCCTGATACTTTAGAGTTGAAACGATAAATACTTACCGTATCTTCGTAGTTGATCTGGAACTCATTTGAAAGAGTAAGTGAAAAAAAATGAGAGCAAAATATGAAAGGAAAAAAATGGATCACATTGTCAAAACTCGAAGGCATTTTCGTGTCCCGTTTATTTGCAGCGAGAGGGCGCTGTGCTATTTATTGTAATCTGTTGTGCATGTTTCAGTGGTTTGTGGGGTTAGTACGTGCAGTCGTGCACATTACATTTTGGCAATGCCTTGCTCTATGGTTAAGATATGCGGGTTAATATGGAAATCCCTACTCTACTGTGAGCTTAAAATTCATATAGGTTTGATTTTGATTGTTTCTTTTTACTCCTAGTACTAGGCCTAGACCTAGTCGCTTCTTGTCTCTTTTGACACGGTGACAGTGAGTGAAAGAGTGTGACTTTTAGTTTTTATGTTGTTTAAGTTTTGTTGTTGGCCATCACTGACAATTTGGCCATCACTGACAATATAGTTAACTTAAATTATAGTCATAAACATGACATTATTTATGAGTGAAATATAAAACAGAGACCTATCCCTCTAAAATTACAAGGGGACACACGTTAAATGTAATACAAATTACAATGTTTATGTGTCCACTATACAGCAGTCATTGTTTTAGTGTTGTGATTTTGTCTTGGAAATATAAGAAATTGTAGACAATTATAATTCTACCTTCAGATGTATTTTTAAATTACTGCAGAATTGAAGGACACGCTTTTTTTTCTGGGGCATCTGTGCAACCTGTGTATTGTTTGATGTCTCTGCATCTGATGAGTGGCCATGAGCAGCCGTCAACGCCACAGCTCCAACTCCGGTAGCCAATCAGATGACAGCTCCGCCTCCGGCTCTAGTTACAGCTCCTCTTCGGCATCGGGCTCCCCAGGTGCCCAAGTCCCCAAGGCCTACGCTCGCTTTGAGAATGACAGCCAGCAGGTCCAGACTCTCGTCGATCAGGTTAAGGAGAAGATTTATCGCAAGCGGCCTTATTCCGTCTCCCTGAGCAGCCGCAGCGAATCCGATTCTGAGCCGGAAGGGAAAATACCAAAATCCTACTCGAAGTCCCAAGAAAGCCGTAGAGATGGAAAGACAGCCAAGAAAAGATCAAGAATGCCCTCTGAATCGAGTAGCAGCAGAAGTAGTAGCAGTGAGTCCTCAAGCTCTTCAAGTTCTAGTGACTCGGAGGACTCAGATTCTCTGAAGAAACAGCAAAGAACAGTTCACCCACCAGCGAGGTCAAAGGAGCAACAGTCCAGACAGAAGTCCAACAGTCATGGGAAGAACTCCACACGGCATGGCTCTGAAGATCAAGAACGGCAGTCTCATCGGGATGGAAACCACAGGGGGGAAGCTTGGAGTCCTGAGGAGGATGGGCGGCAGAGGAGAAGAAACGAGGATGGACACAGGCATTCAGATGCGGTCAGAAAATCAAACCAGAGAGAAACTCATAACGTCGAATCCAAATCTCGACGGCATGAAGAGCCGGTCGAATCTAGGTCTCGACGGCATGAAGAGCCGGTCGAATCTAGGTCTCGACGGCATGAAGAGCTGGTCGAATCTAGGTCTCGACGGCATGAAGAGCCCATGGAGGAGAAACGATACTCCAGACCCAGTGATCATGGACGGCCCAGAGCACAACAGGATCACAGAAAAGATCAGTCCAACCAGTCGGGTGTGAGACAACGGAACAACCATGATGAAAGGCACAGTGAACGAGATGGAAGGCATAATGATCGCGTGCGAGAACCTTCAAGGGAGGAACGTGTGCACGATGAGAGATCCGTAACCAAACGAAGGGAGGAGGATTATACCAGAGGTGGTAGAGTGCCAAATGAACCATCTAGACACCTTTCGAGGGAGGAAAAATCACAATCCAGGAGCAAATCGGAATCCAGTAAGGAGCTGGATTACAGGAGGGACAGGGATCGACGAGACTTATCAAGGACAGGGAAAGATGAGGAAAGTTTGAGGCTGGCAGAGACGAGCTCACGATCCCAAAGCAAGACTGGGTCCAGCAGCAGGGAGAAGGAGCGACAGAAGGAACATGAGAGGCAGGAAGCCACCAAGACAGGGGTGGGCCGAGAGTACTTCAGTAATGAGCGGGGATGCTGGGAGTGGGAACCTCTCAATGCACCGGAACAGAGGGCATCATCCAAACGATCAGGGGCTCGGGCTATGTCTCCAGAGCACCATCACAGCAGCCGCGACCGAACAGAAAGCAGCAGTCGACATTCAGCAAAAGGTGACGATCAAGTCGCCGAGAGCAACAGTCACAGGCGAGAGAGCTCCCATGCCGATCACTCCAACTCAAGGAAGAGGCAACGTCCTGCATCACCACCAAAGGCAAAATCGGCCGATTCTGACAAAAAGAGGAAAAAGAAGAAGCGGAGAGGGAAGGATGCGGAGAGACAAAAGGCCAGGCTGAAGGAGAAGAAAAAGAGACGGAAAGAGCGGGCCGAGAAGAGAAAAGCCAAGAAGAAAGAGAAGGAAAGACGAGAGAGGAGCAGCAAACGAAGCAAAGAAGAGAGGAGGGGAAGAGAAAGGAAAGAGAAGAGAGATAGCAAGCCGATTGGGCCTCAGATCTCAAGCATCCAGGCCAAGCTCCTCAATATGGCATCAGGTAAGATAGGACCCAGCTGCCAAAATTGAGCCACTTGAAAAATTGATTCGGATTTTGTTCTAGGAATCTATACATAAATAAGCCCCAAAAAACTACATACATGTACCTACTAGCTTGTAACAATTTCTGGTCTGGTGGCAGATTTTGGTTTTGTGTTCGGGAGTGCGACCAAGTGGTTAAGGTCCGTGACTCGAGATAGGAGAGCCAGGGATTCGAATCTAGCTTCTGGCCATGTTGTGTCCTTGGGCAAGCCACTTCACCCCCACTTGCCTCTCTCTACCCTGGAGTATAAATCGGTACTGGCATAAGCTGGGTTGTAACCTGCGATGGACTAGCATGTCATTCGAGGGGAATAGAAATATTCTCAGACGTTTCATGGCAATGAACGCCAGCATGATGGGCCATGTTGGCCTGTGACAGACTTTACTTACTGCATTTTTTGTTAATTGCGTTCAATAAGTTTAGTGCAATTATCTCCCCTAATTACACAATTACATTTTCTGTCCCCAATTCCTAATTCTTCTCATTTATAAGTGACAGTATTTACCGTTTTTTTTTATGTGACTGATCGTCTTTTTCCCCCTGTAGGAGGTGATGAGCCTGCTCCCCCATCACGCTCCATGGCTCCGATGACAAAGCAGGAGCATGAACGTCACCAGGGCAGGACGAGGCGTGTGTACGACGAAGATACAGGCCGGCATAGGTCAGTGTCAGTTAGTTTCGTGTAGACTTGGACAAGTCTAGGTTTCACTTGGTCTGTGCAGTGTGCAATGTGCACACACAGTCGTTTTTTGCTATGCTTCCGAGGATCGGCTTTGTGTTTTCCTTTGTTCCCTTATCTAAACCTTTCCCATAGACTAAGCGCGTAAACCGGCATTCAAGGACAAAGTGACCTTCGATCGAGACCACAAAAGAACCTTTGTGCTCCCTTCGTGTGTGATCCTCGGTTGTAAAGCCATGTATTTAAAGAGCACACATTCTTGTTCCGTAACTTTAGGGACTACACACCTGTTGAGTGATAGTTATTGTGGGGACCAAAGACGCTGTGGGGACAGTAGAAAGTCGCCACAACTCGACCCTAATTACCCCTAACAATGAAAAACTTCCCGATAACGTGGTGACGGCCCGCCCCTACACACTGCAAGGTCAAGATATGAGCTGTATTATAACATACCTTGATTTGTTGCACTTTTGGAAAGATGTTATTGATGGAATTCAGGGCTGGTTGGCAGCGGTTGTTGTGGATATCGAATTAAGTCCAACTTGAGTGAAGTCTAGTTTTGTCGTAGAGTCCATCACAAGTCCAGTCACAGTTAAAGATATAGTCCATCATTTGTATTTTGTGCATTTTGTTCGTTTGAAGCAACAATAGGGCTCAAGATCTAAAGAAGGGTGCTGAACAACTAACCTGATGAAGTTTCAGCTCAGCTTCAGCTGTATTTTCCGAGAAAAACAGCATTCTAGGATCTCAATTTCAAATCAAAAGTTACTGAATCATGTTTTGAATTGTTTTGAATTGCAGCTTATACGCGACGTCACGCACTGATCCGATGAATTATAGCAACCGCGCGTGCGTGTGCGTCGTGCCAATGCTTGCGCGCGCTTCGCCGAATAACAAAACGAACTACTAATTTAAATTTTCCTACGTTGCGTCTTAAGACGCACCGTTGGAAAGGCCTTCTTTCGTTGATAACTTCAAAATGACAGCTTGCCAGAAGGAATAATTTCACAGGGAGTTTAGTTCCCTTACTATCTTTCAACCAAATATGTTTTTCAACAATAATTACGCCAGTTACTTTTCGGATGGCTGCAAATGATGGACTATAGCTTTAAATCACAAGTCCATTTACGAGTTTCACATGCAAGAGGGAATCATCATGACAAAGGAATGCCTTGGAATAGCTTGCAAGTTGTGACTTAAAGCCGGGCTGGATGATGGACTTTTTTGGACTTGTGATTGACATGATTGACTCAATGCTATATCAGTATCATGTCACTGAGCTTTTATGAATTTTTGCATCTTGGGATATGTAAATATTAACAATGAATGTTGCCCATAACCGACATTCTTTTAGATTCAGTAAAAGATATGGTTTCATTGATATTTCTTTTTAGGCTTGTGCGGGGCGATGGAGAAATAATGGAAGAAATCGTCAGTCGAGACCGACATCGACAGATAAACAAGGTGAGTTGTGTGTTGCAAGAGAGGTTGAATTTGGTCGATTTAGGGCAGTATTTGAGAAGATTTGTTTTTTTTTGGTTTTTTTTGCAATGGTTTGGTCCAAACCATCACAAGGAAATGATGGTTATTCCTGTTTTCTTAAAAATGACAGCATGCTAGGTAAGCACCATCGATATATCAATATAACTTGATTATTTAATATTATTTTGATATCAATATGCTGATAGCAATTTTGTAGTCATATCATAATATCGAAAATGTCGATATTGAGGAATGATACTAAAACTATTGAAAATTTGTCAGATATCGGCAAAAGAAATCTTCCGTTTGGGCTTTTACTTTAGTGTTTAACGTTTGCTGTAAAATGGAATAAAACTCGGCGGCAACTTGTGCTTGTGACTAAAAAAATTGCGATACGCCAAGTGGCGTCATTTGTGCTTTGCGTTCACTGGAATTTGCAGTCTCCCCCATTGTAACACCTTAAAAGAAACCGCCCGTTCTGGACAAACTCTCAGTGCTGAGATTTTTTTTTAAACTTTGAGCAATATGCTCCAGAGAAAGCCGTAGAAAATTGGGACTTAGGCCAAAGAAACAAAGTCTCCGGTTTCTGGTATGCGCGCGCGTCGCCGTAGCCATGCGCGTCGGCAAAATGAAAAAGTTTTTTCAATGAAAGATGATGTCTCAAAACCGCCAATCTCACTGGTTTGACTGGAATCCTGCTGCTGCACAATTTTAACGTGTTTCTAGATTGGGTTATGGTCGAGAATAAGCTTTATGTGGCCTCTCTGGACTCCCAGATATTTGCACTAAGTTTAGTCGGGCACCATTTGCAGTCATCAGCCGACATTTGAAGCAAAAAAATCAGGTAAAAACAAAAAAAGCCGCGTCGCCGCACCACTTTTTGGGCAGGCTCCATACCAGAAACCAGAGATTTTTTTTTTTTTGCCTTATATTTATTTTTTTTAATCAAAGTATCATCTTTATGGTCTTTAACTTTTACATGGGATAATCGATATATCGAATATTCTCGATGTTGGATTTCCGATATATCGATTATTGAAAATTCTGATATCGATGGTGCTTAATACTAAGTTCAATGATTTCACAGGATGCTTCATCCTATTTTTTACTTATTACAATTAAGTAAGATGTTTTATGAAATAATGTAGCATTGGGTTCCTTCATAAAAGAGACTTTTATGACACTTTTACAAGTTCCAATCAAAAACAAATTTACGTTATTTTCCAACAGCAAGCAACCAGAGGGGACGGCTTGTCTTTCCAAAGGAGCCTCGGTCTTCGCAGGTACTAGGAAGAGGTCAATGTGCTTTGGAGGTCATCGCACATGCTCCGTGAGGGTGAAATAACGTTGTATTTAATGTGATCAAATTTTTCACACGAAATTTGGTTTTTCACCAAAATCAAGTCTAATATGTGCAAATGAAATGCAATCCTCTTTTTTTTTTCATCGCCAGGATTTATTGCATCTTAATAGTGATTTGAGATATTAAGTGAATTCACTGAAAGCTTGTGCTAATTTGAATATTTTAAAGCATTTCTTACAAAATTGAATAGCAATTATTGCTTTTTTTTTGTAGAAGACCTGTTCAAAAGTTGTAATATTCCTTGCCCCGCAGTATTCCTTTTTTGTATATATAATTTCATTGGTTCATGGGAACACTGCAACATTTTCATTGTAACTTCAAAAACAATTCCTTTGAAATACACATGACCTCAAGTTTCTTCTGTTCATTTGAACATGTGAAAGAATTTTGTTTGTATTGGAAGACCAATCGTGGTTTCTGGAGGAACAGATATTCATGTATTTGACTTGAAGTGAAGAAAAATTACTGGAAATTTGCATAACCATAAATGCAGATTTGTGGCAGAAGAATGTACTTGTGTTGTCAAAATTAGGCCTTTTGAGTAAACATACAAAATTTAGTCCACACAAATTTTGTTTGTTAAATTGTTCGTTTAGAAGTTACAATTGAGTGTTCCAGCAAATATTTTCTCGCAGAAACTGCTTTCCGGTTTTCGAAATTGACTCGTATGTACATTTTTCTGCAGTTACACTTTGCATGTAATCATCCGTCCCTTTGTGTAGGCATGGTACCACACACATACATGTATGCATTCTGAAGCATTGTAAATTAAACCTGGGGGATCAATATTCACAGACGAAAACACTATTTTAGTCGCTCATATGTTATCGTAAAACTTCTGTTGACTTAGTGCAAATACAAAGACCATTTGGCAGTGGTTTATAAACAGATTTTAACGTTTTATAATCCTTTTAACGGTAACCTTCCCAAATCCTCCAAAATCCTCTTTGCAAGGTGGAAGATTTTGCAGGATTGAGGCTACATGGCAAAAAAAATGTGTGGCTGATTTCGGAGGATGCACTGTGTCAAGGTCTTGGGCCAGACCTTGTGTTGTTTATGCTCAGCCGTGCGTAAAAATTATACTTGAAATCCTCCGCACTGCTCCAGGATGTCGCTGGCTCTGCCTCAACATATTGACAGTGATTGCTGGAGGATTTTGCAGGATTAAGGCAGTGGTCACCACATTAAAACAAATTTGACGGATGATTTTGCAGGATTGAGGCTGTAAGCAATATTTACACGGAGGCAGTTGAAGGATTTTGCAGGATTGAGGTTGCATCCTAGCAAAAACGCCTAGGGAGTTAGGGTTAAAGAAAGGAATTGTGCCTCGTAATGGCAGCTGAACTTTTCTATGTTGTTAAAGAATGAAATTTGCTAAACTCGGTAATGGACTTAGCCAGAAAATGAATCACTTGCAATAGCACAGTTCGGTATTTCAACTGCGCATGCGCACAATGATCTGGGTCACGGATCATTCAGGATAATCGAACGCTCATCGAAGACGAACGAACGTGCAGGGAAACAGGCACTCGAACTTCGCGTGTCAATTACGAGCAGAATAGGAGTCTGCGTAACATCGCGGAACAGCATGTCAGCAATTTTTTCCCGGATGACTGTTGGCCTGGACGACTTCATCAAGATACCCAACTGGCTTATTGCAACATGGTGGATTTTCACAACTTATCTAATTTATTGTTTGTAGCAAATGGACAGAACATGTAGTGCTGGCGCATATCAACTGTAGTAATGTGTTCGATAGTTTATAGAGTTTTTTGCAATGTAGAAACTTTGTCACGTTTGTGTAGCCGCTTAAAATCGCAAACTTCCAAACTTGCCATTTTGTTGTCATACGTTGTACATAACATAGCTTTTTTTAGTTTTTATTTTGTTTGTTTTTTTCTTTTTCCAGCAAAGCCGATGATACTGTAATATTTTGTTACCTATGTAGATACATCATGTTCATCATGTACAGGTGGAATTTGGAAGTGTTCCCCGGAGAAATCCAATTAACTAATTAATTAACAGGTTGGTCTAAGATAAAGCAGCTAAAGTTACCAGGTATGCAACTGGGAATTTAGAAAAAAACAAGTAAAGCAAATTCCAAACCACACAAGACTTTATACAGTGTTTTTCAATTTGTAATGGCATTCATGAGAAGTAAAAAACGAGGAAATCAGCGGATCAGAGGAAAAGTTGCATGCCTGAGTTACCTACAGCTGTGGGTTTTGCTAAGAGGTTTTGGCTTTGGGCTTCTGGGGCCCCCAAAGTGGGGGAAGCTAAATTATTCCATGTTCCGTGTTTAGGAACATCAAATTCTACAAATACGATGCCACACCACAGTTGAGAGCCTCGCAATTTGGTTTCACTTTTGTAGTTTTATACACTTTTGTGCCCCATATACACGTGTACTTGGTGTATTTGTTTTAATAAGAGCAGTGTGTGATGGAATATTCCAAAGTCATGTCAGGTAAAATGCTATGGGAACACAATTTGTAAAACAAACTACACACTGTTCTTTATCCCAAAAATACACCAACTATATGGGGCACAAATGGTAAAAAAATTGAAAAGGATGTTATTTGTTACACTATGCTGGAGTCACATATGAGGCCAAGGGTGGAAGACCCATCACACTTACTGGAATACCAAATGGACTGGCTCCATTTTAGTACTGTTTATTGCCACTATGATAGTGCGTAGCATTGAGGGTACCAGACCAATATGGCCATTATTCATGCCAGTAATCACGATTCAGACCCCACACTATGTCTTTTCTGTATTCCGTTATTCTGACAACAGTAATCACACTTCGATTTGTCACTGTACATAAACTTAACATCTCTTACCTTTTAAATAAGATAATTGTTTTTGAGCTTGCAAAGAAAAACATTTATTTCAGTCAATGTAATTTTAAACATTATACCTGAATTTTTTTGCCATGAAATAAACTAAAGACGCTTGAAATGCTTTTCTTACCAAAGATTGTCTAGGGGTGGATGTAAGAAAGACGGCTTTAAAGATGGAGCATACAGCCCGATATTTCTTTTTTTAATGATCATAATTTTAAGTTTCATCATAAGTGAAAAATGAAATGTGTATGATTGATTGGAGGGGAAACTTGTTCTTCGATAAATGTTCAAATTTTAGGCCAAAAAAAATGTGTTTCCGATAAATTTGCCCCAAAAAGGGTCGGGTCAGTAGGTACATGTAGGTTTTTTGGGTACATGTACATACATTAGTACTCAATATGTACATGTACATGTACATATAGATGTACATTTTGAAGGACAAGTACACATGATTGAAAGAAGTTGTTTTATTGCACGTGCATATGAATAATTTTGTTTAAATCAACTATACAATTTTTAAAATATTCAATTGCTGACCCTCTTGCTACGTTCCAATCGCGTCGTGTTAATCGTGTTCACGAGTTCACTAGACATATTAAAGTGTTCTTATCGTCGGGCAACTCATATTCACCAGTGGCGAACTGGATGCGGACTTTCCTTCTCAAGTTCACAACTTAGTCTGGTTCCCTGACCCCATTGTCCTTTGGACCCATATTTTTAGGGGGGGCTGGGAAACAGTACATTCTAGACTTGACAAAAAAATAGCTTGTGCAACGTGCATGAAGGCCTGTGTGTGTTGATGTGTAGCATTAGAATGCGACCCACTCGTGAACAAGGAGTAATTCACACTGAACACGATAAACACGACGCGATTGGAACGCGGCTTATGCACACTTAAAATTTTAGGGTTGGCCGAGTTACCGGAAACACAGCATTATTGTTATTTGGCCTTATTCCGAAAATTAACATAATTGTATTATTTGGCGAAGAAACTGTGTAATTCATCGATTTAACAAATTCCCTAAAAATTTGTAAGTTTGATAGGTTCCACTTCAAATAGGCCTATTCAGATGAACTGTACATGTGATAAAAGGAACATCAGTACATATTTTTCCCAGACGAACTGAAAGTATTTTGTGAATTACTTGTAAATTGCAGTTTTTTCTTGCTACAAACTATGAAGGAATAAATGTTTTCAACTTCATGCATGGTGAACGGAGTTGTTCTTTAAACTTTGTGTACGAGTTCAAAACATTGGGTACAAATACATGAAGCTACAAGAACATTTGAACATGAGAATGTAAGATCGCAGTAAGTTTAAAAATAAAATAAATTGTAATGCTTATATAGCGCTTTGCATCATATCAACAATCTCAAAGCACTTCAATGAACGCATTTTAAATCGATTGTTGAACAGATGTGCTGTTAAAGGAGACATTCCGTCGAAAAATTAAGGTAAAAACGCTCAAATATTTAGAAAATATTTCTCCAAAAATGGATGATTTTTGCCCAAATCTTCAAATTTCTACGTGTCAGAGTATTGATTGATGTTCCTCTTGCATGCAGATGAATTTCTGCCTTATTTTGACAAAAGTCAATTTTTGGCCTTTTTTGACTAAAAATGTAAGGCTAACCCCTTGAATTTTTTTCAATTTTGGCCAAAAAATGGAATTTCTTGAAAGTTGTCAGAAAGATGCATTAATAGCTCTAGAACGCATTCCAATTCGATTGCTGGACAGAAGTGCTATTTAAGGAGAAATTCCAACAAAAAATTAAGGTAAAATCGCTCAAAAATTAAGAAACAATTTTCAAAAAAATGGATGACTTTTGCCCAAATCTTCAAATTCCTGCGTGTTAGAGTATTGATTGATGTTCCTCTTGCATCCAGATGAATTTCTGCCTTGTTTTGACAAAAGTCACTTTTTGGCCTTTTTTGACTTAAAATGTAAGGCTAACCCCTTGATTTTTTTTTTTCAATTTTGGCCAAAAATGAAATTGCTTGAAAGTTGCTAGAAAGATGCCTTAAGGGCCCTAGAACGCATTCCAAATCGATTGCTTGACAGATGTGCTATTAAAGGAGAAATTCCAACAAAAAAATTAAGGTCAAAACGCTCATAAATTAAGAAAACAAATTCTCCAAAAAAATGGATGACTTTTGCCCAAATCTTCCAATTTCTACGTGTTAGAGTATTGATTGATGTTCCTCTTGCATCCAGATGAATTTCTGCCTTGTTTTGACAAAAGTCACTTTTTGGCCTTTTTTTGACTAAAAATGTAAGGCTAACCCCTTGAATTTTTTTTCAATTTTGGCCAAAAAATGAAATTGCTTGAAAGTTGCTAGAAAGATGCCTTAAGGGCCCTAGAACGCATTCCAAATCGATTGCTTGACAGATGTGCTATTAAAGGAGAAATTCCAACAAAAAAATTAAGGTCAAAACGCTCATAAATTAAGAAAAAAAATCTCCAAAAGTGGATGATTTTTGCCCAAATCTTCCAATTTCTACGTGTTAGAGTATTGATTGATGTTCCTCTTGCATCCAGATGAATTTTTGTCTCGTTTTGACAAAAGTCAATTTTTTGCCTTTTTTGACTAAAAATGTAAGGCTAACCCCTTGATTTTTTTTCAATTTTGGCCAAGAAATGAAATTGCTTGAAAGTTGCTAGAAAGATGCCTTAAGGGCCCTAGAACGCATTCCCAATAGATTGCTGGACAGATGTGCTATTAAAGGGGAAATCAGTCGAAAAATTAAGGTAAAATCGCTCAAAAATTAAGAAAAAACCTCTCCAAAAGTGAATGATTTTTGCCCAAATCTTCCAATTTCTACGTGTTAGAGTATTGATTGATGTTCCTCTTGCATCCAGATGAATTTTTGTCTCGTTTTGACAAAAATCAATTTTTGGCCTTTATTGACTAAAAATGTAAGGCTAACCCCTTGATTTTTTTTCAATTTTGGCC